GATTAAAAAGCCAGAAATCCAGATAAAGAAAAGTTAAGGGATACATTTTGTGACCTAAGTCTGCTGTGTGATTGAAAAGAGAATATAAAAGACCTTCCTGACATTTCAAGAATTAAAAAAAACTTTCTGCATATAAACTTTGACAGCAGCTATTTGTAATATATAATATTGCAAAAGACTGTCTACTGTCAACAGTCCCAAATGCCTGATCAAAGTTGTTAATACTAAAAGAAAGAATACATTCTTTCCTGTACATTTTAATATGCATTTGTGGAATATTAAAATTTTCTATCTTCCAATATATTATTTCAATTTTGTTTTCAATTATTTATTTCAATATTGGTTTCTAATAACTATTGCTGATACTAAAAAACACCTTGGAGCACTTCATACTGAAAAGAAATAACAAGAAACAATGCTTAGAGTTGCACAAAGCTTATTCAGTGTTTGAGGTCAAAATTTACCTTTAAAAAGTCAAGATTACAATGAAAATTTTGAAGTTGAAATTCCAAAATTGAAATGACGTGTGAATGACAACACTGTGTTTTTAATATCCATATAAAGGAATCTATGTCTCTACATCAAGCAGTATATGCCTTCCTTAATTTAAAAGAAATCAGGAGTAAGGAGTAATATTTTTCAGGACATGGTAGGTATTTTTTTCTTCTCATCCAAGGGGAGAATGCTTTAAAAAATAGGAAACCATATTACATCTTCTTCAGCCATGTTTTTCAGAGGAAGAGTTATAACTATTTGCCCCTTGTGATGAATCTTTGTGACAAATGTCACCTCAGCTGTGATAAAATGTTCATTGAAACCCATTTCCTGTATGTGTTATTTCAGTGAGGATATTTTTTTCAAGGCACAATGGCTGTTGAGGAGACATTTCTACTAAATGCAGTAGAGGATCCATTGTGTTTAATGTGTGACTTTAAGGCACTTGCCAATTTCTAGAGATGCAAGGGCATAAAACATGAGATTTTTGTTCTGTCAATGTAGAACCCTGCAAGGTTCTGCCAGGTTTGTTTCAACCTATTTGTGAACAGAGAAGTCTATGCAAAAATGATGTTTAACAAATTTTAAAAACTGGCTGCTATGCACAGAGTCAGATTTCATTTCTGTGCTTGTGAAGTACTGTAGCTTTAAAAAATATATAGTAATGTCCTGCCCATTAATTCTTTCTCCCCCAAATAACTGAGATCATGGTGTACAGTTTCATATAAAACATTTCAAATTATGATACATCAGGTAAAAGGTTTACTTAGTGTCTCTCTTTATCCCCGCCCTCCCCATTATCAGCACCATACTCCCTATGATGTTCCAGTAAGGTATAACTTTCCCAGCTTCATTCCTAAATACACAAGCCAGGTAATTTTGCTTCTCTACCAATTCCATGCAGCTGGACCTTAAAACCACTCTTTGTAGGATGAATTGTAAAATATTTTACTTAGTAGTGTTTAGAAATTGTGATTATCCCAAACAGCTGCTATAAACACAGGCAAAAAAAAACCCCAATCCAAACTCAGAATATTGACAGGAAAATGGACAATTGGGGAAGTGCATCATGTGTCTTGTGAATGAGCTAAGTGTCACAGTGCCAGGATAAATGCTCAACACAAAAATATAAATTCATTGTAAAACTGTATTCTAGGAGGAGAAAGAAAGAAAAGCAATGGAGTTTGAGAGAGGGGGGATAGAACAATTTATCTGTCCAAACCATATGCTAAAACATATCTGCTAATATTAACAGACTTATTCCACAGAAAATAAGAGAACATTGGTAATGAGCAGCTATTTGTTCCATTAAGAAAAAAGAAAAATACACAAAAATTTGAAATGTCCTAGTGGATAGAAAATACTTTTTCCAGTAGATCTTCCCTGTGTAAAGTTGAGAAGAAGGGTAAAGCTATCAGACTCAAGTTGAATCCAGCAGCATTTCACAACATGCTCTAAAATTAATAAGAGAAAACAGAATGTTACCATACAAAAGTAGCCAGCTTTCTGTTGTCACATTCTTACATTTGTTACAATGTTCTCCTTGGTATCTAACCACTCTTGAGAAACAGTTGAGCCCAAGAGGCACTGTAGGGCCTTGCCAAGGATAAGGCCAATTACTGTTTTGAGACGGGGCTTCTCAAATGGTCCTTCTCTTATGCGAATGAGCCTTTGCAGTAGCACTTCTGGCAGAAAACACTAGGAGCAATTCAACAGACTTGTTCTAAAATACCCTGGCTTGGTACCATGCAAAAAGACAGTGGTGGGTGACTAAAAGCCAACCTTTTGATATTCCACAATGTGCCCAATATGCATTGTTTAAGCATCATAATTTAAATAGGCTATCAGACCCCATCCTCTAATGCTAGAAAAAAGAACTCTATGGTTTAAAAGCAAGTTTATAGAATGCTACTATTAGCTATGGGTCATTTACCTAAGATTTTCATAATTTTCTCCAAATGAGTGGTCATATACTGGTTTACAATTCCAGCCACTGACCATTGTGGCTGGAAATTTTAAAAACTACAGACCCAAATAAAGAGAGAATACTAGCCTGATAAAAATTAATTAGCTTATCTCATAATCAAACCATTGTACTTTAAGGAGATGCAGAATCTATGTTTCTGACAACTATACGAAATGTTGCTTGCTCAGTCTCTAATTTCTAGTGCAATTACTACATTATAGCAGTTAAAGGCAGGGGTGGGATTCTACCAGGTCGCACCTATTCGCTAGAACCGGTTAACATTCTAAGCAGTTCGGAGAACCAGTTGTTAGAAGAAATTACTGGCCTAATCCTGTAAGGAAGGCAGGAAGGAAACATTCTGGTGTTGCTTACAGAAACTGCCTCTCTGTTAACCCTTATTACATTCTTGGCAGGACTAGACTTCCTGTCTCAGAAAGCTCTCTAGAGTTTTTTTTCCCCTCCTTTGCTGGTACTTTGCTTGTGTGGAGTGACCATTCAAAGTTACAATTGCACTGAAAAAAGTGACTTATGACCATTTTTCACACTCACGACTGTTGCAGCATCCCCACAGTCACGAGAGGCCAGGCAAGGAGATGCGTGCCTCAATGTGAGTGATATTGAGTTGGCCATGCCCAGTCAATAACATGACCACCAAGCCACATCCACCCAGTCACATGACCAACAAGCCATGCCCACCAACTAAGCCATGCCCACAGAACCAGTTGTTAAAAAATTTGAATCCCACCCCTGGTTAAAGGGAACACCCTGCATCAGGAGTGGGATTTTACTGGTTCTGTCCAGTTCTGTAGAACTGGTTGCTCTGAAAAGCAGCAAACAGAGAGCATACATAGAACCGGTTCTATGTCTGCTGGTGTTTTGGTCCCCCTGCCCACCTGGGCTCTTACCTGACCTTTATTTCCTGCGTTTTCAACCGCAGCTGCTTTGCACAACACAGCTGCGGTTGAAAAAGCAGGAAAAAAGTGCTTTTTCAACTGCTGTGCACCCACGCGCAGCACTGCTCAGCTGTCCAGGCAGCTAGATGATGACAATATACACACACGTGAAGAGCAAAATGTAAAATCACCGAACCGGTAGTTACACCAGTCAGATCCCACCCCTGCCCTGCACCCAACAGAACTGCAGCAGGCCCAGGCTATACTGCCACCTGAACAGCACAACCAAAGAATGCCACATGAACAGGCCACATTGCCTTCATTGGCTCTAGCTAACTGCCAGCAGCCATTGCATTTTGAAGAATTTCAAAAAGCAGCTGCTTTTTATAATGATCAAGAAATAGTTTGTTTCCAATTTGGATAATGGTTGTTTGTTTGTTTGCTTGTTTGTTTAAATTTATCCTCCTCCACAATGGACTCCAATGGACTCCAAAGGTAGCAAGTGTAAGAATTCAAAGAGATGGTAATAATTTTGCTCTTTGTTCCAGCCCTTCTAATCCTTTAATTTCAGACCAAAAAAAAAACCCTCATAGAGCTTCATGGTTAGATTGTTCTTGAGCAGAAAATAAAATGCATCACCATCCTTGAACAATTATACTTTGAAAAGAGAAAAACAGAAAATGGGATAAAATAAAGTAAAAAAGAAACAGAATAATCACAAGGATGTGTTTGTGTAGGGTGGTAAATTATAAATACATACACATGCTGAGTAGCAGGCACTATTGTATGCTATTACATTCCAAACATTTTTTCTGCATATGGAAGAGGCAGTTGCTGTCTTTGTGTTTTCTGCTACCCTTTGTTCACTGTAGATATTTGGAATGTTTGCTTAGTTGAAGCCAGATGACAGCCTGGCACTCTCAAGAAACACTGGAAAATTGATTAGGAACTTAGTAGTCATATATTGCATAAGTAATATTCCAAAAGTCATAGTCTCATTCTGAGCTCAGCCATCAGATATAAAGATGGAGTGGGGGGAATCATATTGTAACCAATATACCAAGTCTGGATTGGAAATAAAACTGTCTTCTCACATGACACCAAGCCAGGATATTTTAGAACATGCTTTGTTGATCAAGTCAATGGATTTCTCTCTGTATTATGCTAAACCACAGTGGATTTTTTTTGGGGGGGGGGGGGGGGGGGGGGGGGGATTGTGCTAAACGTAACATGGCTAGTTTGCTTTTGGCTTAGTGTGATATATGAACAGGGCTAGTGCCTCCAAAGGTAGATTTTTCACTAAGATTAAATGTCAATTTTATTTTCTCATCAGTTTCAAATGATAGTTCAAAATATAGGGAAAAGAGGAAGGAAATTCAGTTACAGAATACCACACAATTCTACTTTTAGAATTGCTGAATCAGTATGTGTCTGCATCTCCGACATATGATGTCTTTCTACTTAAATTAGTTTTCAACATCTCACATTAGGCAGGATGTTGTGTGCAGCCAATCAGGTCTTGACAGTTACTATATCTTGATTCCAAAGCTCAGGTGTTCTCTGAAAAGATGACCATACCAATATATGAAATATTGCAGCCATTTTGTTAATTTCCCAAATAAAAATCTACAGTACTTGAGTAAACACTACACCTGAAAATCCTTCGGGCTACCACTGCCATTTGATCCTGTATTTTGACATGCTATTTCACGAACATCAGCCATTTCCCTAATTTCAGTTTCAGGCAGTCTTGATTGGAAATGAAGCAAGGGAAGACAAAAAGAAGCAACATATTAGAAGCAAATTTAGAATTGCCACAACCTAGCAAATGCTTGCTTTTTTAAATTGGAAAGACAAGGGTCTTTCTTAGGATTACTATGAGTTCCATAGTACTTTCAATCCAGTTTCAATCTTGCCTCTAAATCTAAATGCTGCAAATAGCTTCTACAATATTAAGGTTAGTATTACGTTTATTTGCCACCTATCTCACCACAAGGCGACTCTGTTCAACATGTTTTGAACAATTTTCTGCTTTCAAGACTTCTGTCCTATAGGCTTAAGATAAAAGTATTTAATTTTAAATCAGCTGTAAAACATCAGAAAACCTTCAGAAGAATCTATTGAACTGCTTCCTAAAGGTCATTAATCAGAATTCTATACAGATTTTTCCATATTGTATCTTATTAGCAGGTCCTCAATGCCCACATAAAAATTACTGAAACAGAAGAATAATGAGAGCTTAAGATAGCTCATCACATTTCACATTGTTTGTGTGTTCCTGTGGCTGTATTTCTAATCTATCACACCAAGAAACTATGCAGCTACAGGTGGAATATAAGCAAATAGGGAGTAAAGGGAGGTATGAACACTAGGTTTGGTCAATTAACCAGCTGAGGGTCAATTTAAACATCATGAAGTAAGTTTTCTGTAATCTTAACATTAGGATAATGCAACACAGATTTTGTACCATGGTGCAGAGAATGTTTAATAACGGTTGCTTTATGATCCCCTTGTTTCTGAAAAGGAAACTCAAAATATTAATTCATATGGAGGTTTGGCTTTCTATTATTAACATATTTGCAGCTGGCATGTTATCAATATTGTATAAATATATATGTAAATATAAAACCATGAGATACCATTATGAACGTGACATTAGAACATGACACTGTACTGTTTGTTGTTCAGTCACTAAGTTGTATCCAACTCTATGTGATCCCACGGCATGCCAGGCTCCTCTGTGCTCCCCGAGTTTATCCAAACTCAAGCTCCCTGCGTTGATGACACTATCTAACCATCTCATCCTCTGCCTTCTCCATTTGCCTTCAACCTTTTCCAGAGTCTTCTCTCTTTTCATTAGGTGGCTAAAGTATTTGAGCTTCAACTTCAGTATCTGTCCTTCCAAAGAACAGTCAGGGTTGATTTCCTTTAGGGAAATTACTCATATTAAAGATGAATATGTTCTTGACCATATCCATTGTATTTGGCTAAATAATTATTATGTAACACAGATAAAATACTTCCATACTTACTTCATAAGAATACATTTTTATATATTGTTGTTTGTCAATATTTCTGGGAGGTTTCCAACATAAGGATGAAGAAAATTTTCAAGCAAAGATTTTCAAAGTTGTTTTGTTTGAAACATAATATTCCCCACCATTTGTTTCTACCTTGGACTTTTTAAAAAATTGTTGTCTTTCCATCTTTCTCCTGCCCTTTAAAAATTACTACAGTGTTGTAGTTATTGTGCTTTATTTACTAAAATTTGTGATTGGTATTATTGAAAATAAGCTTCAGTAAAATTATTTTAAATTGGACAGTGACACCAAGTGGTCATACATAGTATTATCCCCAGATGGTACCTGTGCTCCAAATTCAAATATGCTTTTTATCTTCAATCCACTTAGTGAAAAGTTTAAAAGCTCTCTTTGGGGAATAAGTCTATTAAGTTGTCACTGTTTTATTCTGTCTTTCCCTCTCTCTTTCTCTCTTGCACACATACATTATGAATTTCTAGAAAATTTTCTTAGACATACAAGGACATACTTATCAGAATCATGCAAGCTGAAATATAAATTTGCCTCTTCCAATTTCTATTGCAGCTGTAATATTTATGTAATTAAAATGCACATTATTCATAGAATTAACATTGGTTTTGCTTTTGCCTTATAGATGGTATTGACTTTATTCAATGTCTTTTATCCAGCAGATACTGAAGTAGCTACGCTGAATTTGTTTAGAAACATCCACTCTGTCCTCAGCTCCTTTCCTGTTAAACAAGCAGTAAACTGAGACACCACTTCCTCTGGAATGAAAATACACTTTGAAACATATTACTCTGTGAATTAAAAAGAAAATAAATTGCTAAGCATAAAAAGTGGCCTCCAAGATGTTGGGTGACCAGTGAAGGAGACAGAGAAATGATAGCAATAGCACTTAGACTTATATTGTTAAATTCTGGGCAAAGAATGGAGACGAGGCCAGAGTAAAATTCTACAGCTCTTTAATCAAATACTTCCTGTGAGGCAACTTAAAACTCCCTGGCTGACATCACTCCTTTTATGGGAACTAATCATCCAACAGCCAATCAGAGAGCATTTCCCACTCCCACAGCTAACCAAGATAAAACCAACGATTATCTACAATACATAATATATATTCCACTCCATAGTCCTTTACAGCGCTCTTTGGATGGGATACAATGTCAGCATATCGTCCCCAACAATCTGGGTCTTCATTTTATCGTCCTCAAAAGAATAAGGCCTTGAGGCAGTTAGGATTAAATTCCTGGTAATTGGCAGAGTTAGCCTGCAATACTATGTTCTAACCACTGTGCACCACGGATGATGAAAGGGAATTGTGTTTTTTGACCCCCAAAAGTTATAATAGAGGTAAGAATTAAGGGTGTAGAAAAGGACATGGATTCATGGCGTTAAAGATCTATTTTCTCTGCACAATATAGTAATTAAAAACAAAGATTTGTATCTATTAGTAGGTTCTTAAACTCTTTATATATTGTATATAGTACAACAGGAAAACAGTGAGAAAGAAAAGGTGACCTTCTTTTTGCTATATCTATCCCCACAGATCTGTCAGATTTTTATACCACACTAACTGGAATCTGTACATTGTTTGCCAGGGTCAATTTTCTTAACATGGTTATTTTCAGAATCATTAGACTATCATTATCTATAGTGAGCATGATCCATAACTTTTGTTTACGCATCCCCATTCTGTAATTTAGGTTATGGGGTGTAACACTGCAGACAGTTTGACTTTCAGGGCCTGTCCCTCCCCAAGTCTCCAAAGAATGAGAGGTATCCCTCAAAATATACTTACTCTAAGATGCAAAAAGCCTTAGGGGAACTTGATGGGGCAGCACTGGGGTTTGCAATGTCATATATCATAAGGTCCATTGTGGCTTTGTCTTCAGTTACTGGTTGCGTTGGAATAACCTGAATATTGGACTACAAAACAATGTAGGCAGAACACAGATAAGGAATTATTTGAAATTACTCACTGTATTAATTGAATCAAAAAAAGTAATGTTTTTGCCTTTACATGGTGAAAGTTATTTTCTATTAATAAAAAGTGTTTAAATATGTTAACTAATATTCAGACACCCAAGAATTCACTTTTCATTTCAAATAATTTTCAGTGTTTGGTTTCATATAGCATCATATGACCTCATTATTTTTTACTGTTTTATGTTACCAAAAATGATATTACCCAAAAGACCTAAGATTACATTGAATGTACATACATAATATGTATAAACCATGCCCCTTACATCCCCTTCGAGACTTACCTGGATGGGTAACCCCAGTGGAATCTGTAAATCTTTTAGACCAGGGGTGTCAAACTCAAGGCCTGTGGGCTGAATCTGGCCTGCGGGGGAGACTTAGATCTGGCCTGTGGGGCTGACCTGGAAACAGTGAAGGACCAGCCGTGTGCAGCCGTCCGAAGCTCTGTTTTTGCTGGCAGAGAGTTGCAGGAGGCCATCCCAGCCGAAAACAGAGATCGGGAGCCCATTTTGCTGGCAAAGTGCTCAGGCCACACACACGCACCCCCACATGAGGGATATCAATGTGATATTATGCCCACCCTGGTCACACCCATCCCAGCCCCTCGAGGTCAAACACAACCCTGATGCGGAAGTCAATGAAATTGAGTTTGACACTCCAGTTTTAGACATTCTTTAACAACCCACGTTTAGAGCTTTTCTCTCACAGAGCAAAAATAGAGCTTTCAAGTAAATGTATATCAAATATCAACAACAGAGGCTATAAATCCAGCAGAACATTCAAATCTACAGCAGAATTATTATACTCCAGAAGACAAAGGGATAGATAGATCTACCTAGAAAGATGAAGAAACTTCATTCATAATCATTCATAATACAAGACTTTCTTTTAGTTTCATTAGAAAACTAAATATTTAGTCAAAATAATAACTACTATTAATACTCTTACAAAGTAAATTTTAAAGTGTGCTTTAAAACATTCCTTACATCTAATGTAGTAGATTGCTGCAAAGGCAAAGCTGTTAAGCTTTTGTGGAAAAGACGATTGTGCTGCTCTGATATCAGAAGCAGACACATAGCAGGCTTGTAAATCAGGTTATATCTAATCAGCCACACAAACATTTAATGGGAAACTTCTAAAAGGTAAAGAAAGTGAAGAATCAATGAAACAACAACAACAACCCTGAAGACTAAACTAAAACTTAAACAATGGCTTCAACAGCAGTGTTATTTAGAAATAGCTGTTTAGGAGAATACTTTTCCTGCCTTGGATGTACCATGCAGCTTGACACATTTAAATCTGCCTTTCTACTGCAGAGCTATAATTTTTGCTGACAGAAACAGGTACTCCTAACTATGGCAGAGGCCATTTCATCTCATTCAGTTTAAGGCAATGTTTGAAGGCATGATTCAGCTGTGAATGTATTGCAAAAGCATGTTAAAAGATTTGCTCTCTCCAATGTGTGAAGCTCCATCCTCTTTGTCAAAAACTACAACTACAAAGGTTACCATCAGAAAAGAAATCCCTAAAGATTAGATTTCTAGCCAATTTCATTATGTCATTTGTCTCCTTAAAAATGTCTCATACACCTCATAGGTGATTTTTTTTTCCTTTGAGCAATTTGTAGAATGAATGAAAGCTGAAGCAGGGCAGTAACTATGAAACTGGGAATATAGAGTACAAATCCTGTCATCGTTTACTTAGCCTTTCTATATTTTAAGAATCTAAATACCTCATAGAAATCTGCTTTACCATGTTACTAAGCACAAAAGTATTACAACTATAACTACTGCTTCTTTGCGGTGGATTTTTATATAATCTCAGATCACCCCAAATGGACTTTCTTAGACAAAAGACATTCCGGAGAAGACTAATGTACCCCATCCAAGTTGTTAAGATTATTTCTGCATTTATGTCCTACCATTTTTCTTAGAGCTCAAGGCGGGCAGGAGGGAGGGAGGGAGGGAGGGCTCCCTCATTCCCCACCAATCACCAACCTATATAATGTTGAGAGAGAGAGAGCACGCACTTCAATTCAAATCATGCTGTGAGCTCTGTGGTTGACTGAAGATTTGAACCTGGATCTTCTCTGTCAAATTCCAACATATTCATATACCAAAAAGTCTGTGACCGCAAATAAAGTATTATTATTATACCGTATATACCAAAATATATGCATATATTTATAAATGCAAGAGCGCAGACACACAGACTCATGCTCCCCACTGTGCTCTTCCTGAAGATCTTTCCTTTTATTGCACATCAGAGTAGAAATAATAGAACTACTAACAGTAGGAATTCTGGTAGAAATACTAGTAATAATAACACAACAACATAGTGTTTCTGATTCCAGGAAAATACTTTGACTAGAGGTGACGGGGTAAGATGACCTATCAGCATCTCATTGAATCTGTATATTTCTTGGAGAACTTAAGAAAACATGTGATTTCTTTAAGGAGGTCTTCAAACAGAGGTTGGATGTCAGGTTCCATGTTTCCGCCAATAGAAGACACTCACACTGTAGCAGTGAAAACCAGATGATCTCTAAGGTACTTTCCAAGTCTAAAATTCTACCTCTTTGATGGAATACATTGCTTATGTGCTCAAACAATTTTCTTGGAATTGTGGGATGTGTGTAAGCCTCCAGGGTTTTGCTTTTGCTGTGGCTTTCTTACCTTCCTGAATGGAATAATATTTGCTAATATAAAAAATGTCTCTTGCAGCAGCAGCAAAAAGACAAGCAAGGGGAGAGAAAGAAAACACCTTTCTAAAAGCTTCTTACTCTCTCATAATTACCATTTTAGAAGCAGGAAGCCTCCGGCGCTGCTTGTACATATTGATGAGTCTGTTCCAGGGAGAGAGCTCCGATTTCGCAGGTTCTTTTTGTACATCTTCTACAGAAAAGAAAAGCCACATCACAACAGCTTTCAACAGCCAGTGTTTTCCCAGGTTTTGCCTCCTTTGCTTACTCTAGACAATAAAAGTATCATGTATTTGGCTCTATTTACTTGTGTGGTGCAAAGAAAACAGGCAAAAATAAGAGGCAATTTAAAGTGAGAAACTGCTCACTTGCCCAGAGCAGCAGGACATTTGCACATGAACTGGGAGTGTCTTTGTATTCTCCAACAATGGACCAAACCTACCTGCAGCTCTCTCACCCCTGCCCTTTGCTCCAGCTCCACTCAATTAAGAAGAGGAAAGAAAGGGCCCTGAGGGGGAGGATTAGATAGGAAGTAAAATAGATATTATAGAACAGCCATCTACAGTAGCCAAAAAAAACCACAAATTGGTAGCACCTTTTCCGACTAACACATTTTATTAAAATGAACAAACTTTTGTGAGCATCTAAAAGCATACAGTATGCTTTTTAATTACATGTGTTGATGAGAAAAGGTGTTACAAGATTCCTTCTAATTCTAGGAAAGTATAGTGTATCCTTCTTCAAATTATACAAGAATAGGATTCTCTTATTTCCAAGAGAACCAACCAATATAGTCAGATGGAGTGTAGTGCTCCCAATAGTTCATTTTTTACCCATTTTAATGGCCCTTCTAGCACAGTACAATATAGTATAACATGTCTCCCGGTTTCTTCAACTTTAAACTCTCAGTATTCATGTATTACAGGAGATTAGGGCAATAGGATTAACAATAGCTATTTGAAAAATAGATCAGAAGAACCCTCCTTCATTTTTCACCTTTCAGCAGATGTTCTGTTTCATCTTCAGCATTACAATCCTTAATATCTGTCATGGACCCAGCAGCCATTGAGACTCCATCTTCTGCACATATAATTGGGGTGATTTCATGCCTAAATCCAAAACATGATTGCACTTGATTCTTTACCTATCTTGGGGGTAGGTATTTCTCTTCCCACCTTAATACTTATGGCCAAATCCTTTGTTTATTTGGCCTATTTGTGGTACCTCATAAACATAAACACAGGCAAAGCTGGAGTGAATAAAACCAGCAATATTGATAGCAGTGTTGCTTGGAGTGGGGAAGGAGAATGAATTGGATTTGTTGGGATCACACATATCCTGACACTATATTCCTTATTTGACTGTATAAATTAAGCTATTAATCTTTCTGCTAATCAGCCCAGTGACTCAGTCCCCATGATTATAATTATAGAGTGTGGAAAACTCTTCACTCAGAAAAGCTTACATAAAGCATTAGTCCTGGTGTCATTGTTTATGTAAACCATAATGCTCAAAGCTACCTTCGCAGGATAACTAATTCTACTAATTCCTAATTACTACTAATTCTCACACAAAAGCCCCACAAAAGATGTAGTTTGTGGAACCCAAATTAACTTTGTCACATTTTATTTCAGAAAAATCCTTAGGATCCCCCCTCCTTTTGTGTGTGTGTGTGTGTGTGTGTGTGTGTGTGTGTGTGTGAGAGAGAGAGAGAGAGAGAGAGAGAGAGAGAGAGAGAGAGAATGAATTGTTTGGAGTGTGTTCCAAGCGCCTTTCTTCTGTGAAATGAATATTCTCTGTTTTTGCATCAGTCTTCCAAGAATTGGGGCACCATAGGATGAAACAGACTAGGCCTTTCTGTGAAAAGGCTCATCTAAGAGCAGCAGCTCAGAGACAAGCAAATTTGTGCAATGTTGCCACATGAACTCCGACAAATGCCAACATTCACTTCTGCATATTTCTCAGTAAGAGCAGCTCTCCCATGAACAAAGTTACTATTATTATGTATTAATCAAATTTATATCCTGTTTTAGAGCCTACATATGTCCCCCTGTGCTAAGTCTAGTTCTGCTGGATTTTTCTCTGACTTTGCATCCTTCACTCCTGGCAGCAAGTCAAAATGATAACAAGTGGGTACTGTGAAACATTGGCAGGCTGCCAACTCTGCTCTTCCTTTCGTGCATGTCTTTCTGGATAGTACAGAGCCTCATGCCATGGGCTTTAGTTAGCTGTAGACCCTCATGCCACCGATTCAGTGTGTATGATAGTCTATCTAAAGGAAAGTTAATAAGGAAACCTATTGTCTTAGCCAATCATAGCCAAATAAAAATAGGAACAACTTGACCGCTAACTAATTCCTAAGGTAATACAACTAGAAGCTAATTAATACAAATCCCTGTTGGTTTATTATCTAATTCTCTGTTCACATTCTGGCATGAATGGCAGAAGACTTAAGTGAACTATGCCAGTCAGTCCAAAAAGAGAATCACTTTTACTTGTCCCTGATAACAATGGGAAAGAGCCAGTCTCAGATTGTACACCATGGAAACTAGTAGTCTACTTAATGTGAGGCCAATCAGAAATGTTGATTCACATTATGCTTTGTAGCCACAACATTGGGGGTACAATACTTACTTTCCTAGTGTTCCTCTATCACTGGAATTGTGGTCCTCCTCTCCTGCAGCAGAAACTCTTTCATTGTTACTTAGCATAGATTCAGCAAAGGGCTCTGTGTCTCCTAGGCCCATCCTGGTTGAGTTAAATAAAGCAGAGACTTTGTTCTCATCCTTAAGGGAAGTGTCTCCAAGAGTTGCTTCCTTCATCAGGGGGAGCTCCTCAGTATGGCTATTTATTACCATTGGGCAGATTTCACTCGAAGTCATCTTGGGAATGGGAGGCTCTTGGTTTGGGATGGCTACTTCAGTGTCCGACAGGGCACAGTCCAAGAGCTCACTTTTGATGTCATCTTTCTCTTTCACACCTGCCGTAGGTTTTTCCCCTTCTTGGGTCACATGCCTGCTGCCTCCAAATAGGTTTCGGAAGAACTGAAGCACCCAGGCCCTGTTGGAAACAGAGGAGGCTGTAAGAGTTTCCATTGTGAGACAGTTATGGGGCAAGATGGCTGCTCCACTCAACAGATTGAAAGCGGGGCTTCAAACTGAAAACCCAACTGCTCAGAATCCTCTAGGAATTCTAAAGTTCTCTAAGGGGGTGGGGTCTAAGAATTGGGACTTCCTGGATTTCAGCATCTTAGATCAGATGTCTATCCCTCCCATTACACTTTCGTAGATTAGTGGCTTCCAGGTGTATTGAACTGTTTTCTTCCCTAAAAACAAGACCGTTGAGAGAAGATACTCAGAAATTCTATAATGAGGAAGGTTTCCACATAAACAGCTGTGTCGTGGACCTAAATTATTGATCTCTTGGTAATTAGTAACATTTGAATAATGATCTTCTATAGGAGATAACAGGATAGCTATAATGCAGCCCAACAGTGGGGTGCATCATTCATCCAAATATCCCAGTATTGTCTTTTATTATCTACCAGTGTTGCTGCGAAGGTCAGGCACCATAAGCTTATGCCGATAAGAACTTGATCCCTGAATTTGAGAAAGATACTTTTCTTGATGCTTCGTGCCCACCTAAAAATATGAATCAGCAAAGCAGCAAATTCAGGCAAAGCAAAGAGCATTTATTAAGGGGGGGGAGTCAATTCTTTTTAGAGGGCACAGAAATAAAGGATTCATATATTCAGTTTATGTGATACATAAGAAAACAAGTGAATCAGATAAAGAAAGACATTGATTACATGTGAGATTTGAACAATAGAAAATGTGGCAAGAGGCAAAATTATGGGCTACATTACTCTTTCCCAGCTGAGTTTGTATCTTCTTTAAGCTTACAAGTGTATTCAAGAACTTTCAGAATAGACTCTGTTGTTTAGTGCTGAAAAGGCAAGTTCTTGCATAGCAAAATACATGGTCTTGGCTGAGAAATAAAAAAAACTGCTCTCTTGAAGATTTAAAAAAAGGCTAAACTGCCATGTTAAAAGTACTACTATCATCTTTCAAAATGATAATAATGAAGCCTAAAACATCAGCAACCTCTTCAGAATCTTAAAGAGAAATGTCATGTCTCACATTGTTCGACTCTTTTCAATAGAAGTACTAGACTGGACGCAGTGCCTCAGTGGCTAAGACACTGAGCAGGTTGGCAGTTCAGCGGTTCAAATCCCTAGCACTGAGTAACGGAGTGAGCTCCCGTTACTTGTCCCAGCTTCTGCCAACCTAGCAGTTCGAAAGCATGTAAAAATGCAAGTAGAAAAATAGGGACCACTTTGGAGGGAAGGTAACAGCATTCCATGTGCCTTCAGTGTTTAGTCAAGCTGGCCACTTGACCACGGATATGTCTTCGGACAGCCCTGGCTCTTTGGCTTTGTAACAGAGATGAGCACTGACCCCTAGAGCTGGAAAGGACTAGCATGTATGTATGAGGGGAACCTTTATCTTTACTACAGACTGAGCCAAGAACCTTCAGATGTAAAGCATGTGCTCTACTAGCAAAATGTCAATATTTTCTGGGATAAGCAGTGTACTTTTACAGGAAGAAACTTTCTGTGTCTTTGTGTGTATACATATGAACATATGCATACTTGTATGAATGTGTGGCACTTTTCAAGTATTGTAAGGCAGCTCACAATACTATCAGACTGTAATATCAAACTACAGTCTATATAAGCAATGGCAAAAAAAACCCAAGAACACAAAGCGGTTTGGAGCTATTAACATGGCCCTGCCCCACCACTTCGTTTATGAAGGATAGCAACTGACTGGTTTTTCTTGCATGGCTGGCTGCTGGGAGTGCACTATTGTTGGGAGAGGCAAAGCAGACACCAATAGATGCATTGTGAGTGCTCTCATTCCCGGAAACTATTAGAACAACAGTTCTTGCTTTGTTTATTCCCAAAGCAGAGAAAATACCATCTATCAGGCAGAGCAAATTTATATTGGCAGTCTTTGTGCTGTTTAGAGACTGAAGGTAAGCACATTAAACTCACTCTCTTGCTATGCCAAAAGAGTGCTGAATTCTGGAGGTGCAAACTCAACATTTTGTGGGCATGCAGCCCTATCAAGTTATCCCTACATGAATGCCTCTGCTTTATCTAGATTGAGTTTTTTTTTTTTTAATTTCAAGTGTAATTAAATACTCTTGACCCTCTACTCTCTCTCCAAATTAAATCAGTTTTAATTTATGGCAATTCTTTTTTTTTAACAAATCGTATCCAGGTCCATTCAGTAGCATTTTCATTAGCTATTTTCTGGTAATTGCAGCAAAGCTAATATTGTTGTGAACAAAACAGATCCTCAAACTAGCAAGACCTTAAATTTTCAGGCTAATATTTGAGAGCTCTTAGTAAACAGGAGAACATAGTATCTCAGTGTACTTAAAACTAAATCAGACTTCTAGTCTAAACTTTCTTTTCTTTTAGTGCCTACATTGCAAATGCAATGAGAATTAAGTATTCAGACACTTTGCACTTAGATTTTAACAGGCCACCGTATCATCAACCACAGGCTATTTATGATAAATAATATAGCAATTCTCACTGGAAGATGTAGGATAGGGCTAGATATGTATTAGGTTCATCACTGTCTAGCTTTTGAACCCAAAGAGGCTGCCATTTGTAGTCCTCAACTTACAACCATTCATTTAATGACTGTTCAATGGCACCCAAAAGTGACTTATGACCATTGTCCACACTTATGACCACTGCAGGATCCCCATGGCCATGTGATCAAAATTCAGACACTTGGCAACTGGCTTGTATTTATGACAGTTGCAGTGTCCTGGGGTCCCTTTTATGACTTCAGAGAAGCACAGTCAAGGGGAAGGCAGATTCACTTAACAACCATCTTGCTAACTTAAAACTGCAGTGATTCACTTAACAACTGTGGCAAGAAAGGTCGTAAAATAGGGCAAAACTCAATTGTCATACCAACAGAAATTTGGGGCTCAGTTGTGGTCATAAGGACTAGCTATATCATTGTTTAGTTACATTAGCAAATATAGCTGCAAGTCCAGAAGTCTGGAATTCACTGGTTCTCTTGCAGTCATCATTGCTACTAATACAATGGCAATGGAAAGAACCTTTGTTTGGACTCAGAGGCTAAGCACTGATGGACCTAATAAGTAAACAGATAGGAAATGACAAGGTAATTCCATGGCTACAGGCAAGACTGGGAAGCCAATACGCCCCACCACCAAAGAAAGCTGTGACTTCCATCCTCTCACCACAAAAATTGCATGAATTAATCCATGACATCATCAGGAACTCAACCCACGTCCTTCAATCAAGGACCTATATACTGCACGAGACAAAAAGAGAGCTGTGAAAATATTTACAATCCCCTCACATCCCAGACATAAACTGTTTCAACTCCTTCCCGCTATAGAGCACTGCACACCAGAACCACTAGACACAAGGACAGTTTTTCCCCGAATGCCATCACTCTGCTAAACAAATAATTCCCTCATCACTGTTCAACTATTTACAAAGTCTGCATTACTATTACTATTAATCTTCTCATCACTCCTTATCACCCATCCCCTCCAACTTGTGACTGTATGACTGTAACTTTGTCGCTTGTATACTTAGAATTTATATTGACTGTTTCCTAATATGATTTGATTGCTTATTATACCCTATGACTATTATTAAGTGTTGCACCTTATGATTCTTGACTCTGACAAATGTATATTTTCTTTTATGTACACTGAGAGCATTTGCACCAAGACAAATTCCTTGTGTGTCCAATCACACGCCAATAAAGAATTCTATTCTGTTCTGTTCTGTTCTGTTCTGTTCTGTTCTGTTCTATTCTATTCTATTCTAATGCTATTCTTTGCTATTTTTATTTGATTACAAAATTATTGTGCATCTGATGCAGATTAAATTAAATTTTAAGTTATGATTTTAATTAATTTTTAAGGCATGTTAAATATTTTTTAGCTCCAGCATGTTACCAGAATCTTTTGTCATAGACTTCTGTGTTCCAAAAAGGTTTATGTATGCAGTTTGCCTAGTGTCACAAGAATTATATGGCAGTCAGCAGAAACATTTCTGCTGTCAGATGGCACATAATAAAGATGTGTTTGATCTAGGGAACGCCTGATGGATGCTTTGTCCAGGCCCCTGCATGATTTGAAATGTCTTTCAACCTTTGAATTAGAACAACTTTCATCAGATAGAAAATAAAGAATATGTCAACAGCTAACTGCATCACACTCATTCATTTTTCAGAACAAAAATAGCTCCATAGAAATACTAAAGAAGTTTATATCCAGATTGAAATATCATTAGTGATAATTATCTTCAACAACTTCCATATTATTATTTGGGTACATTAACTGAAATATTAAAAAATGGTTCCATCAAACTGTAGTCCAATTCTCTTTCAAGGAGGCCCATTCAGATATATGATTGTTTTTTTATTATTGTATGTTGCAGATGTTTTATGCTCTTATAGAAATTGTCACAGGATTAAGATTCACCATTTACAGTGCTTTGCTGTTCTCTCTCTCTGTCTTTTTTTGGGGGGTGGGGGGGGCGGGGAGGAGAGCTGTTGCAGAACTGTCAATGCAAAAACTATCAGATACAGTCAAAAAAAGTGTGCATGTCAGCTACCAAATGCAGGCAATTATGCATGATTTTAAAATGTTTCCTTTCAACCGCTTACATACAGGTTTCTCTGCCATTTGTATTACAGGTAATCCTTGACTTACAACAGTTCATATAGTGACCACGGAAAGTTGCAAAAGCACAGGAAAAAAGTGACTTATGACCATTTTTCACACTTTACCACCATTGTAGCATCCCCATGGTCACGTGATCAAAATTCAGAGGCTTGGCAACTGGCTCATATTTGTGATGGTTGCAAAGTACCAGGGTTACATGATCAACTTTTCTGATTTTCTGACAATCAAATGCAATGGGGAAGCCGGATTCACTCAACAACCATGTTACTAATGTAATAACTGCAGTGATTCACTTAACAACTCTGGCAAGAAAACTTGTAAAATGAGGCAACACAACACA